TGGTACGAGGTACAAGGCGAGCCTAGTGGCAAAGGGGTTTGCATAAAGAGAGGGTGTGGATTACAATGAGATATTTTCTCCGGTGGTGAAACATACTTCTATTCGGGTGCTATTGAGTATTGTTGCTCATTATGATCTTGAGCTGGAACAACTCGATGTCAAGACGGCCTTCTTGCACGGAGACTTGGAGGAGGAAATCTATATGCACCAACCTGAAGGTTACAAGGTTGAAGGTAAGGAGAATCATGTATGTCACTTGACGAAATCACTATATGGATTGAAGCAATCTTCTAGGCAGTGGTACAAGCGATTTGACTCCTTCATGCTAAAGCATGGGTTCTCCAGAAGCGATTATGACTATTGTGTCTCTATTCAGAAGCTTCGTGGTGGTGATTATATATATCTCCTTTTGTATGTGAATGACATGCTTATTGCTTCTAAGAGCAAGGTGGAGATAGATAGGCTAAAATCTTAACTTTGTAAAGAGTTCGAGATGAAGGACATTGGCACTGCAAGGAAAATACTGGGTATGGAGAATAGAAGAGAGTGGACGAATCGGCGATTGTTCTTAAGTCAGAAGGGCTACATAGAGCGGGTGATCGTAAGATTCGGGATGCAAAGTGTAAAGTCGGTGGCGACTCCGTTGGCTCCACACTTTAGGCTTTTAGGAAAATAATCTCCCACTACAGCGGAAGAGAAGGCGCACATGGAGTGCGTTCCCTATGCTAGTGCAGTTGGCAACTTAATATACGCAATGGTGTGTACACGTCCAGATATTTCATAGGCGGTTAGTGTGATCAGCAGGTTCATGGCGAATCCGGGAAAGACGCACTGGGAAGCGGTGAAATGGGTCCTCAGGTACTTGAAAGGTATCGCGGATACGGGTCTGTGTTTTGGTGGAGATACATGTCAGCTCGACGGGTTTGTGGACTCAGATTATGCGGGCGATCTAGATAGACGACGATCTACTACTGGTTATGTATTCAAGATACATGGGGATCCAGTTAGTTAGCAATCGATGTTGCAGGCTACAGTAGCACTTTCTACTACAGAGGCCGAGTACATGGCCATGACAGAGGGAGTGAAGGAAGCATTGTGGCTGTGGGGTCTTCTAGACGATTTGGGGATTGAGCAGGAGAGTGTGAATTTGTGGTGCGACAGTCAAAGTGCAATTCACTTGGCGAAGAATCAAGTTCACCATGCTCGTACCAAGCATATCGATGTCAGATATTATTTTGTGCGGGATGTCATAGAGGAAGGTGATATTTCTCTTATGAAGGTGCATACGAATGAGAATCCTGCAGACATGTTAAACAAGGTGGTCACAGACAGCAAGTTCCAACATTACTTCGACTTGCTTCATATCCGCCCGTGTTGATTTGCCCAAGAGAGCATGGCCCTGAGGGGCGGTGATGGAGGTATGGTGGAGACTATGTTGGAGAACAATAGTAGAACTATGGTTAGCTTGATCCCAATGGAGGCTACGTAGGCAGCTACGGTATAGTGGCGCAACTGGTTTGGCGTGGTTTTGACCTGGATCTCTCTGGTGATGTTCGTGAGGCTTCTTCTAGGGTTCGTTCAAAATTTGAGGTTTATCAAATGATGAACGAGGTGGAGAATTTTGAGTGGACCTGTGGCCCATGCTTTGAGTGGACTCAAGCATGGGGGGACACAAGTACCCCATGCTCACATGGACCTGTGGCCCATGCTTTGAGTGGACTCAAGCATGGGGGGACACAAGTACCCCATGCTCACAGCCCTCCTATATTGCTCCTATGCTCACAGCCCCCGCCTATACTTCCGTGCTCTCCTTGGTGAGCTGGTTCCAGCAAGGCATCCACCCCTCTCTCTTGCCTATAAATAGAGAGGAAGAGAGAAGAGAAAGTGGTGGTGGGAAAATAAGTGGGGAAAAAATCTCTTGAGTGAGTAGAGAGGAAAAAGAAGAGAGAGGAAGAGAGAACTTGTAATAGTTTGGTATTCTCCTCATAGTGAAAACCCCCTCCCGTGGACATAGGCAAGTTTTCCGAACCACGTAAATCTGTTGTCTTGTCTTTTCTGAGAGTTGGTATTACTTGTAGGTTCTCTCGACAAGTCGATCCTAGAACTGATGAGATGTTGAGCTGGAACAAGAGTTGGTCATTGCTTGTTGGATCCCTCGACATTCAATCCTAGAACTGCTAAGAAGAATAGTGTATATCTCACTTTGTTGAGATATTTTACTTTCTATTCATGTTTCCTTTGAGAAACAAGAATATAGAGGTTGACTTGTGCTTTTGTGACAACAAAAGCCAGGGCTCTCTCTCAGGTGATATCACTTTCGCGATGGTGGGCGTGACTCTGCGCCCAACAAAGAGCAATCTGCTTTTGCTCAATATCAATTAGCAACTTAAGTTGTTCTGCCTTTATGCGGTCACTTTCTTGTCTCCTTGCCCTAAACTCTTCCAACTCGGAATGGACTTTTGAAGATTCCTTCTCATCATCGTCACGATGCTCGTTGGATTTTGCTTTTTTGTTCGCTTCTTTTGCAGCCTTTCTTCCCATAGGCCTCTTCAAGAGTGCAGGTTCAGGAGCATTTCCATTATCATCTTCCAAGTTAATTGTAATTTGATTTTTAGCACGAGGAGCCTTGAAGATTCTAGTTGCTTCAATTTTTTTATGTTCAACCATCCATTTTTGCTGAAACCTCAGATTTTTTATGTTCAACCATCCATTTTTGCTGAAACCTCAGAAGAGTCCAACAATGGTCAAATCCAAACTGATGACCTTCCTTATCTTTGTAGACCGTTAGTCCAACAATGGTCAAATCCAAACTGATGACCTTCCTTATCTTTGTAGACCGTTTTTGCCTCTTGTATTTGCAAAGAATAGCTCATGTAAATATCTAACAGAAAAATAACATTTGAGAATGCAACATCAGTACTAACATTTAAAAATATAAATAAGCAGTAGGATGCATTGAAGATAATGAAGATAATAATAGTGTGCACCTTATCTGCCTCTGCGTATCCATTTTTTCACAAGTGTTTAACTGCAGCATAATGTCCACAAAACCTACTCACATGGAAGCTTATTTTTGACCAGCGATTCGTCAGTGATTTTTCAGTTCATTCATCCAGCTAACTCTTATGATCTTCAAAGTACTGAGTAATTCTTTTCCAAAATTGGTTCTTCTTTTGATCAGATCCTTTGATTGGATCTAAGCTTGTATTCATCCATGCGGCTATAAGAAGTTTGTCTTCCTCAAGAGAAAAGTTGATAGTTCTTTGAGATTGTTTTTGTGATTTCTTGCTGCTAGGTGCACGTGGCGTCTCTTGATCGGTGTGAGCTTCAGTAGTATATGTCTGTTCAAATGTAGAACCACTGGAATGGTACTGACTCAATGGAAAATCATATGTCAGATGTGGTTCATTGAGATCATCAAGGGACGATCCATTGTTGAGGAGCTCGGTGAAATTCATCTGCAAAATCTCAGAATTGCTTAACCACCAGATAAAGAACTACTAAATTGCATGTACATAGAACTATTTTTATCTTGTGTGGTATATATCATACTCAATAACAACATATTATTACAAATCACAAAACTTACACAAATCAAATTATGCAATAGCAAAATAAGTCAATTGAAACCTACTTGAATCTGGTAAATCTCCCTAATGAAAGATGCTTCTTGTACTACTATATCTCTTCTTGTACTGCTATAACTCTTTAAATATTATCTGAACAGTAGTAAGCAAGACTGTAGCTGAAATAAAAACTACTCAACATTGCTAACTATGAGTCAGTAGCTATATGTGTGGTCATTTAAACAAAAGTGAGGCCTCAAGTGTGAGCAAACAGTTATTCATTAGACCCTCCCTTTTTTCTGAGCCTTTGACTAAATAAGTTGTTTATTTTTAATAACCATGAATTCAGTAAAACCAAGCAAATTGCAGGAAAAAAAAAGTAAACAGATGAAACAAAATCTACTTAGAATAGAACAGAAAAATTAAGGCTAATACCAGGCTTTAGAGACCTTTTGTTAAATTGAGTCTTCTACTAAAACCTGGATTTACATGACTTCTATCAGCAAATGTTTTAAATGACATAAACATATGAAGGCATACTTCTAGCAATCAATACATGTCTACTAACATAAGGATCAAGTGGAATAGCTTTCTGCAGCAAGTGAACAATCAGCATGGTAATCAAGTCATGAATATGAACCGAATGCAAGAATGCTCTTAAAGCATATAAGCACAAGTCAAAGAATTTTCAGATTTTTTTTTGCTCCGTTCCACGCAAAGGCTATACCAAATTCAGATTACTACTAAAGGATTGCAAGAACTTAACTTCTCAAATGAGCTTCAAACATGTATACATGATAGGAGACCTGAATTAAATATACTCCATTGAAGTTTTAAGTGCTACTACTGACTTGGATAGATTCAGAAAACAGTCAAATATGTGTAGCAGTAGCAGTAGCAGAAACAGCTAGAACTATCCTACTGATATGAATTGCAAGCAGTATCCTAGCAGTAGCAGTAGCAGTAGCAGTAGCAGCAACAACAACAGAAGATGGAGCAAGTCATGATCATCATCATAAAGAATTGCAAGAACTTTTTGCCACCTACTGATATGAATTATAACCTTACTCAATGCAAAACACACATCTCTCAGATTTGGTAAGAACATTATGTAAATAACGTGTATTTGGATTACAAAGACATAAAGCCATATATAGATCCAACTCAATAAACTGTATCTAGGCTTAATATTTTCATTAGAAATATCGGCTTTCGGTGAGCAATCCTTATCTTAAATAGCAGAGACTTTCATAAAGACAAATAACAGCACTCGAAGCCAAACAACAGACAAAATCAAACCAAAACCCCACATAAAGCCAAACAACAGCATTTGAATCAAAAAAAAAAAAACTCCCCTCAAAGTGGCGGGATCATTTTGGCGCATGTTAGCAGGCGATCTCTTCCTTGCTAACGTGCTCCTCCGCCTAGGTTTTGATGGCGAAGAAGAAGAAGACTGGTAGCAAAAGAGTTCAAAGTAGCGAGTTAAGGGACTCTATCTTCGTCTATCCTCACTCAACTTCAACTTCAGCTTCAAGGATTCATGGAGATCCTTCATCTGATGAAGAGGCTGAATCGAATGCAACAGTATCTTCTCGGATCCAGGAAATGGAGAGCACTGGGCCTAAAGGGGCAAAGAAGAAGCTGTTCATGGAGGAGATTCTTGCTAGATCTAGTCCATTAACAGCTCCTCAGCCGCTGACGAAGATTGGAATGATGGCTTCCCGTAACCTAGGTAAATCTTCTAGCTCTGTTCTCTGGTCTGATGAGGTTGATAATGTGAACATCTCAAGTGGAATTGACCTTATATTCAAGAAATGGAGAATCCTAATGTTGTGAATAATTCTGGAAAAGAAATAAATGAAGATTCTGTTGAGATGAACCAAGGTGTTAAGAAGAGTGTTGAAGAGAATCGATCTGAAGGAGCTAAATTCTTTGCTAGCCTATTTTCAGATAATAGAAAATATGGAAGTGGATTATCACTAAATTTTGTTCCTCCTTCTATAGATAACACTGTTTCATTTACTGAAAATGAATGGAAGGAAGGGGAGGATTTCTGGAAATTTGCTCTCATAGGACATGTTATTGGCTTAAATGTCAAATTTAAATCAATGGAATCATATGTTACAAATGTCTGGGGTAAAATATCTATACCAAAAGTTTTCTTGATCAAGCCAGGGGTTTTTCTCTTTGATTTTCATGCCGAAAAACAGATGAAAGAGGTTTTGGAGGCAGGGCCATGGTTTTTTGGTTCCAGGCCTTTAATTCTCAAACCTTGGAAAATCGACACTGATATGGATAGAATTCAGGACTGCACTTACCCAATGTGGGTTCAATTTCCCAATTTAAAACTGAATTTATGGAGCTCTTCAGGTATCAGTAAAATTGCTAGTTCAATTGGCAATCCTATTACTACAGATAAACTAACTGCTTTGAGGCAAAGACTCTCTTATGCTAGAGTTCTTCTTGAAGTTAATCTGCCTTTGAAGGAACCTCTACCAGATCAAATAGTTATAAAAGGGCCTGATGGGAAAAATTATAACCAGAAAGTGGTTTATGAGTTCAAGCCAAGATGGTGTGTGAATTGCAAGATAGTGGGACATGAAACTGAACAATGCAGAAGACTTGCTACTAAGAAAATCTGGGTTCCAAAACAGCAGCTTAAAGGGGGAAATTCTTCACAGGAGCAACATGTTGTCAATCCCCAAGATAGGCATGTTCATGAGGATACCGCATCTAGTCCTAAGCCTACACAGACTGAATTTGTGCCTGATAATTCTCAGTCAGATGCACAAGGGATTCTGAGAAACATCACAGTTCACCCAAAGGATTCTGTTTCAGAAAAACATGCACAAACAGTGGTGCTAAGCGATAAGCAAAGTTCTGGACAATCTGATCAAATTGGAAATGGAAAGAAAAGCTCTGGTATTTTCGATCACTTTTCTCCCTCTATTAATATCAGTGGTTTCACTAGTGTTTCCAAAAGTAGTGCAGCTAGAAGATCAAGTTTGAATATTGGTACTTCCAGTCATATAAAAGCTTCACAATTTAATTTGTTAGATCTTCATGATCTTTTTGATACCTCAAATGTGGATAGGGGTAAGAATCCTCAATAAATATGCATCTAGCAATCTGGAATATTAGAGGATTGAACAAGTCCTCTAAGCAAATGATAGTGAAGCAATTAATTCATGATTACAAGCTTGCTTTCCTAGCACTTTTGGAAACTAAAGTAGCTAGCAATAAAATGCAAACTATAGCAAATAAAATGGCAAAAAGCTGGAGCTGGATCTCAAATGCTAAACCAAATAGCAAGGGCAGAATATGGATTCTTTGGGATTGTGATATTCTTACTGTTCAATGTCTATCCTCCTCTGAGCAATTTATAACTTGCACAATATCTTCTAAAGATGATAAATTCTCCTGTATTGCTACTATTGTCTATGCCTTGAATGATCACATAGGCAGGAAGGAACTCTGGAATGATCTCCTATTGCTTCAGCAAAATGTAAACTGTCCTTGGATTGTAGGTGGGGATTTTAATGCTATCATTAGCAATGAAGAAAAACTGGGTGGATCACAAGTCACTGAATCAGATACTGAAGACTTTACACAATGTATTGATTCATGTCAGCTGCTTCATCTCAAATCTACTGGATGTTTTTTCACCTGGTGTAATAAACAGGAGGCTAATGCTAGAATTTGGAGCAGATTGGACAGGGTCTTAGTAAATGAGGAATGGATTCTTAACTACACCTCCAGTCAAGTTGATTTCTTGGTGCCTAGCCTATCTGATCATTCACCAGCATTGATAACAATTGGTGATGAAAGATGTGAAGGAAAAAAGCCATTCAAGTTTTTTAGCATGTGGATCAAACATCCAGAATTCAACTCAGTTGTTAAATCTGCATGGGAGACAGACATCAAGGGCTTCAATATGTATAAACTGGTGACTAAACTGAAAAATCTTAAACCAGTCCTTAAAGATTTGAATAAAAGGCACTTTATGAATATAAGTGAGCAGGTGATTAGAGCTAAGGGGGAACTGTCTGATATTCAGCAAAAGCTGATGACTGATCCTTTCAATTCTATTTTGATTTCAAAAGAGAAGAAATGCCTGAATACTTATACAAGATTGGTTGATTTTGAAACTTCCTTTTACAGGCAAAAGGCAAGTATTAGATGGGGTATTCATGGAGATAAATGCTCTCAGTTTTTTCACTCTATTATGAAGGCGGAACTGTCTGATATTTAGCAAAAGCTGATGACTGATCCTTTCAATTCTATTTTGATTTCAAAAGAGAAGAAATGCCTGAATACTTATACAAGATTGGTTGATTTTGAAACTTCCTTTTACAGGCAAAAGGCAAGTATTAGATGGGGTATTCATGGAGATAAATGCTCTCAGTTTTTTCACTCTATTATGAAGGCAAAAAGGCACCAAAATAAAATCATGTCTATATACTCTGATAGTGGGGAAAGGATTACTGATATGTCTCAGATCATAGAAGAGTTCATTGCTTAGTACAATAAATTACTGGGATCTTCTGCTTCTACTACAGATATCAAAGTGGAAGTCTTGTCAAATGGTCCTACTCTATCTCCTACTCAGGCCAAAAATCTTATTGTTCCAGTCACTAGAGATGAAATCAAACAAGCTCTATTTTCTATGGATAATGAGAAAGCACCAGGACCTGATGGATACACTGCTGCGTTCTTCAAAGCAGCCTGGAATCTGATAAATGAAGATCTTTATCTTGCCATTGAAGAGTTTTTTAAGTCGGGTAAACTTCTTGGTGCTCTTAATGCTACATCTATTACTTTAGTCCCTAAGATTCTTAATCCAAAATCCCCATCTGATTATAGACCAATTTCCTGTTGCAATTGTTTATATAAAATCATCTCTAAAATTATTGCAACAAGAATTCAAGGAGTTATAGGGGCTTTGATTAATGAAGCACAAAGTGCTTTTGTTAAAGGAAGGCTTATATCTAGCAACATCCTCTTAGCTCATGAATTGATCAAACACTACGGCAGAAAACATTCAACTCCAAGGGCAATCCTCAACATTGATCTAAGAAAAGCCTTTGATACAATCAACTGGAAATTTATTAAGGATATGCTTACTGGTCTGGGCTTTCCTGTCACTATGATCAATTGGATTATGGAGTGTATATGTTCACCTAAGTACTCCCTATCTTTGAATGGCTCACTGCATGGTTATTTTAGAGGTGCTAGAGGATTGCGACAAGGAGATCCCCTTTCTCCTTATCTTTTTGTTCTGGGGATGGAGTATCTGTCAAGAAGACTTAGTTCTCTGCAAAATGACAGTTTGTTTAAATATCATCCAAAATGTTCCAGGCTTAAAATCTCTCACCTTTTCTTTGCTGATGATTTGTTGCTTTTCTGCAAAGCTGATATTTACTCTATTGCAAGATTGAAAGAATGCCTATCTGAATTCAGTCATGTCTCTGGACTGGAGACTAATCCAAACAAGTGCTCTATATATATGAGTGGTATTGATGAGAATTTGAAGACCTACATTTGCTCCTTGCTGAATTTTTCCGAGGGTGTCCTGCCAGTAAGATACTTGGGGGTACCTTTGATTACAAAGAGATTATCTTATTCAGATTGCTCCCCTTTAATTGATAAGATTGCTACCCAGTTTCAGAATTGGCAAAAAAAGAAAACATTATCCTACGCAGGCAGATTGCAGCTTATTAAATCTGTCATATTAGGAATTCAAAATTTTTGGACTAGCAATTATATTCTACCAATTAAGGTGTTGAAGAAAATTGACAGTCTTTGTTCTGAATTCCTTTGGAACCACAAAATTCATTTGATTTCCTGGAAGACAGTTTGTCAAAGTAAAGAACATGGAGGTCTGGGGGTTTTCTCTGCTACAGACTGGAATACTGCAGCTTCTATGAAGCTTATTTGGATGATTCACTTAAAGAAAGACTTGTTATGGATAAAGTGGGTGCATGGCAATTATCTAAGACAATCTGACATATGGCAAGTTCAATCCAAAACAAATGATTCTTGGATGTGGAAACAAATCCTTAAAATGAGAGATAAGGTGATACTCAAATTTGGAAGTTCCTCTAATGTTCAAAATATCATTGCCAGGAGCTGCTCTGGAGATAAGGTCCAGTTATCTACTATCTACAGTGATCTTATTAATCAGAATGCACAGGTAACTTGGTCTAAAACAATTTGGGACGATTGGTCATTCCCTAAGCATTCTCTCATCACTTGGCTTGCTACTCATTCTAGACTGTTAACAAGAGATAGATTATGTCACATGAATATCCTTGACATGAATCATCAGCAAAATGCTTGTGTTCTCTGTACATTTCAGCAACAGGAAAACTGTAAGCATCTATTTTTTAAATGTGCATTCTCAGCTGATCTCTGGAACAGAGTTATGGAGTGGATGAACTTCAAATGGAAATCTTGCAATTGGGATAGGATTATTGAATGGTATAGTACAAGATTGAAGGGAAAGGGTTTTATGAAAAGAATTAAAAGGGTGGCACTAACTGTGTCAGTTTATGCCATTTGGAAGGAAAGAAATCAAAGAATTTTTGGGCAAGAATCTCAAGACCCTGTTTCTGTGTTTCGAAGAGTGAAGATTCTGATTCTATCAAAAGTCCTAAATGATGATATCCCTGCTCACATAAAAGACAGAATTGTGAAAATATAATTGTCTTTTTTCCGGAGTTGTTCTCCCAGGTTAGGAACTAGTATTTCTTGATGTACTCATATTTCTCAATTTGGTAATGAATAAAATTTATTTCATTGACAAAAAAAAAAAACAGCATTTGAATCCAGAATAATTCCACAAAATTATGAAATAGACCAAACAAAAAGACAACGAAGAAACCAAATGTTGGATTTTTTGGTCAAAAATAGCTTTCCAAAATGAGTTTTCAAACTATATATATATATATTAACTACAAGTACTTTTCATAAATGCTTTGTAGCCTAGTAGAAAGTTAAAGTTTTGGTATTTCAAAAGGTCCTTGTTCGAGGCTTGGCAACGGCAAGCCGAGAAGTGTTTTATTTGAATTAATCCCTCATAAGTTCTAGTGAGTCGTGGGTCGCGGGTCGTGGGCCGTGGGCTAATGAGCCGGGGATCGGGGCTAATCGGGCTGAGGCGCTAAGTGGTGCTTTGTTAGGCGCACTTTGCACTTCGTACGGATGCATCGGGGAGAGGTAGCGCATGCGGACGAGCTACGTATTCGCACGAGGATGATCCTAGCGTTCTCGTAGTATAGCGAGGTTCGCTCAATCGACGAGGTTTGTATGTCATACAAGTTTCGCCTGTCTGACTATGTTCGCTCGTTGGTATTTCAAAAGGTCCCTTGTTCGAGGCTTGCCAATGGCAAGCCAAGAAGTGTTTTATTTGAATTAATCCCTCATAAGTTCTAGTAGGTCGTGTGTCATGAGCCGTGGGCCGTGGGCCGGGGATCGGGGATCGAGGCTAATCAGGCTGAGGTGCTAAGTGGCGCTTTGTTAGGCGTACTTTACACTTCACACGGATGCATCGGGTGAGGTGGCACTGTTTGGCGCCATGTTGGCTGCCACTATGGTCACCACGGAGGATGCCTCGCAGGCTGCCTCGCAGGCTGCTTCGCAGCATGCAGACGAGCTGCGTATTCGCACGAGGATGACCCTAGCATTCTCGTAGTTTGGCGAGGTTCGCTCTATCGACGAGGTTCATATGTCATACGAGGTTCGCCTGTATGACTATGTTTGCTCATTCGACGAGGTTCGTTTGTCATATGAGGTTCGCTTGTTGACAAGGTTCGTCTGTCATACGAGGTTCGCTTGATCGACGAGGTTCGTATGTCATGTGAAGTTCGCCTGCTTGACTATGTTCGCTCGTTCGATGAGGTTTGTCTGTCATACGAGGTTCGCCTGTTTGACGACGTTCGTTTGTCAAACGAGGTTCGTCTGATTTGTTGAGATGTGACCCTCGCGTTTCGTAGCAACGTGTCTATTGATTGCCTCGTATTCAGGAGTTAATGCATGCAGCGGTTACAATAGCATTAAGAGCAATTTAATGCATTGATGTTACAATCTTAATTGCCATTAAGAATTATAACAGTCACATTAATTGCTTGTGACTCTTAAGCTGGCCTTAGAGGCCTATAAATAACGCCCTTAGGCAGCTCTTGGTCATTGGCTCAAAAGCTGAAAATCCTCTCGCGAGTGTGGAACACGAACATCGCGTGCTGGAATACGAACGTCGATCCCGACGTTATTGCTGTTGTGCTGCTGCTGCAGAAACTTGTGCCCATAGGAACTTGTCTTAAACCGAAAGGTTTTGAACCGAAAGGTTCTGAGATTGAGGAGATATTTTGCCTAGACCGAAAGGTCTTATAGATCGAGGAGATCTTGACAATACTGGGTTGGTGCACACCAGAGTATTACACTGCTGTGCCTGGAAGCAGTTTGGCCTTGGGATCCTTACACCGGAGTAGGCCAAATATTGTTTTAAGCACAGCGTTTCTATAACGCATAGTAGTTAACTAAAAAAAGTTTTAAAAAAAATACAGCACATCTAATTCTCAGTTTCATTCCAGATTTAACCTCAATTTCCAACAATCTTAAAGCAATATTTCTGATCTACTAATGGATCCTACGCAGACTCTTGGAGTGGACTGTCTCAAGTTAGAAAACTTTGATGGATCTAACTTCAACGCATGGCGTCGAAAAGTGATTTTTTTGGGATGTAACTCCTGAAAATCGACTATGTGGTTTCTGAGAAGAAACCTGACTTTGAAGAAGACTCGGAGTCTGAAGCCTCTTAGGATAAAGATGATCATTTCTGCAGGAGTTATCTCCTTAACTGCCTGGCTAATCATCTGGCAGATTCTTACACCAACAAGCCCTCTGCAAAGGAAATCTGGAATGCTCTGGAGGAGCAATATAAGGATGATGAGAAGCTTGTTAGACCCTAGAGGGGGGGTGATTAGGGTCTTATGCTAATCTAATCCGATTAAATGCCAATAAAAATTAATTAATACGTTATCCTAGCAAGTATGAAATACAATAAGAATATAAGCTAGGATAAGCAATATGAACAATGAGATATATCCTATATGATAGAGATATATGCAAGGATATATAAACAACACAAGGGTAAAAAATCTAAACAAGATAGTGGATGAAATAAATGAGTAATGCACAATTGGCGATATAAGATAAATGCAAAAACTGTTGGCCTTCTTGTTTTGATGATGTTTAACAAACAATTTATAACTAATGTTGTTTGTCTAGTGCTTGTATTATCTATTCATTGTAGACAAACAACGTAGTTGGAGGTTGGATGGATTGAGCCTATACGATCATATCAAGAGGAGGTTGGCGGAATTGTGGGGTGAAGCCTTGCTATTCAAAGTTCAAGATCCAAGTTAAAGCTTCATCCGCGAGATTACCAAGTCAAGCTTATTGAAGATCAAGATCATTGCTTGGGTAATTTAGTTTAGGTTTTATATTATGTGTGTTAAGTACGCTAAGCCCCTCAAATTATCTATACACACACATTATATTGCGTTTCTTTATATATAGTGATATATTTATATATAATATAATTATATCATATATATTATTATATATATATATATATAGATTATATATATATATATATATATATATATATAATTATATATATATATATTATTATATATATATATATATATATATATATATATATATATATTATATATATATATATATATAATATATATATATATTATATATATATATTATAAATATATATATATATAATATATATATATATATATAAATATATATAATATATATATATATACATACATATGTTTTTGGTTTTATAGTTTTCGGGCCTTATATATGAAACAAATGCATAGAATTGCGAAAATAACTATTTGTCATGATTATATGTAATATATGATTTTCATCTTTAACAAGCTTATATTTAATGAAATCAATATTTAGTGTTTTGAATATATTGCCATAGAATATGCCAATTTTGTAAAATATATGTTTTTTTTTTTTCTTTCTTTTTTTTTTTTTCTCTTTTTTTTTTTTTTCTATTCTTAGTTTGTAGACTTTATAACAATAGTTTACATCTTTCTTCAAGTCTATAAAATCATTTTGTAAAGTTTCAAAAGTTGGTTTAGCCAAAATGTCAAAATTCACATGTTTACATTTTCATGTTTTGGCTTATTTTGTAAAATGATGATATTTTTCATTTGGGAAGTCCTTTTTCGAAACCAGTCGTTGTAGCATGTTTATTATCATGTCTACAATCATTCCCCAAAGTTTTACATTTTTTGGAATTTATTTGATATTTTTAAACAGCGTTTTAAAATCAGATATACAGTTTTTGAGTATCAGTTTTCGGTCGACCGAACCGGTCGACCGAACCTGAGGTCAAATGTTCACTGGGCGACAGAGAGTCTGTCGGTCGACCGGTCCGGTCGACCGATGAAAATTTTTGGTTGACCGATGAATTTTCCGGTCGACCGACGATGTTGTTTTTAGCTTCCAACGGCTAGTTTTTTGACCGTTGTCTTGGGGCTGTTTTTGTCTTTTGCTCAGGTTTTTGGCTGAATTCTTGGGAGGCTATATATGCCCCCATTGTATTCAATTCTAGGGTTAATGAGAATGTTTTAATGAGAGTTTTAAAACAATTTTAAGAAAGTTTTTAATCAAGGGTTTAAGTTTTGTTTAAAAGAGTTTAAGAGTTTGTTTGAGTTTAGTTTGTGAAGCAAATTTCACAAGAGCAAAGAGGAGATCATCCTTTGGTGTTTGGGCATTCAACTCATCTCTCTCTCACTCTTGATCTATAGAGAAGTTTTCCTTAAACTCAATTCTAGCTATTTATTGTTTTGATCTTAATTTCCATAAGCTAGATTTATATATTGAGTTTAATTGTTTTATTGATACTCTTTGTTCACACACAACCTATTGAGCTTATTGTATTTACATACATAGTATAATTTGGGGTTGTGGGTTTGTGACCAAGAGTTGTGCTTAATTGAGTTCTCACCTTGTTTAGAGAACAAATCATTTGATTTATATTGTGCTTATTGTGAGGATTCACTTGTAATACACTTGTACACCGAGAGAAGTGTGTGGTGAGAGACGGGGTCGAATCCAAGAGGAGTGGCGTCGGTTGACGTGCCTAGGGAGAGGTTGTAACCGAGCACTTGAGGAGGAGGACACGGGCTAGGACCAACACTTAGTGTGTGAGGTGTGATTGCATAGTGATTGTATTGTGAGGTGTAAACGTTGTTCGGGTGAACGTAGAAAACCCGGTTGAGATAGTGGAGATCTCCTCGAGGTGAGGAGCGGAGACGTAGGTCGTGGGGACCGAACTCCGTAATCATATTGTTTGTTTGTGATTGCATTGGCGCACTTACTTTTATGTTCATATCTTATATCGCCATTGTATATTGCATGTTGATTATATTGCCCACTATCTAGTTTAGATTGTTTACCCTTGAGTTTATATATCCTTGCTCATATACTTGTAATATCTCATTGATAGGATATATTCATTTGTTCATATTGCTTATCCTAGCTTACATATCTTGTTGTATTTCATACTTGCTAGGATAACGTATTAATTAATTTTAATTGGCATTTAATCGGATTAGATTAGCATAAGACCCTAATCACCCCCCCTCTAGGGTCTAACAATTGGTATCA